TTATTTGATAAAAGCATCTGAAAAAACTAAATACTTAATTTATTGTCGAGAAAGAGATGTCTTTTGATATTTCATCTGAAATGTATGGGAAAAATGAGTGCCAAAATGTACTAAGAAAATATTGGAAATGCAAGAATTTCAAAATATTTTACCAGAAGTGTATTCTTGATGCAAGTGTTTGAAAAGTATCGACAAATAGAGAGTTTGCTGCATCAGCCTGGAAACACATGTTTTTAATTCCTATCTGAGATAAGGCTAGGGGGAGACAATTTATTTTTAAAACTGAGAACACAAGTAACAAATAACCTTGGAGAGTTGTCTCATTGGCAATCATACCATATCTTCTTATTTTCATATTTAAACTAAAGCTCTAAAAAACTAAAGATCGAGAACCAAAGTTATACCTAGCTAGTTCTTATGATCTTTAAAAACCACAGAAACTGAAACGTGAAGGTTGGTCAACTCGTGATTCCTATATTTTCGGGTGATTCGGTCATCCGTTTCATCGATCTCTTCTTGCTACATGTACCTTTACATATAAGATCTAGCTTTAATACAATAAGATGCTGTATGATTGCATATTAGACGACAATCCAACAGAGAACAAATGGCTAGGATAGCAACGGTGGGTCACCATACGGTCTTCGACAATGAACAAAACCCATATACCGAATAGTCAGCTATAAAATATTACAATTACTTGTTTGACAAATATTTGCAAATGTATGTTCATCTGTATCTGTTAATCTGCTTATATTATATACATTCCCAACTCGTTCGTTATGCCCGTGTGTGTAGTGATGTCATAGATTTTAACGAACGTAATCAATGCATCACTGGTAAATTATTAAGTCAGAGATTTCGTTACCATATAAATTACTTAAATATATAAATTCTTTCATAGATACAAATATTTGATTAGTAAATTTGGCTGTACCCTGTAGAAAACTTATTAAAAACGGTACTCACATCCTAAATTTTATGGTTATATTGTACTAAAAGCGCGGAAATCACTATGTGCTCCGTGTAAACTCGTCGAATCTTTAAACAAACTTATTAGTAAAGGTTATCTTATTAATGTTGTAATAAGATCTTTGAATATTGTTTACAATGACACTAACATCGATTTTGTCAACAAATTAAAACATAACTAAATTTGTATTCTTTTCGAATGTTTTTTTGGGATATATAAATACACATCCACGTTTATTTTCTATTTAGAGATTGCTTTATCTATATATAACTAACCCGAATAATTCAGTCCCTCCCCGTGATCGACCCTCCCACTCGCGATGTAGCCATCGTAGAGCAGTGGAATATAACGACTGAATTATTCGGGTTAATATATAACATGATACATATTTATTATAAGATTAACATGGTTAAATCCTAACTATTCTACTGCCTGTCGTTATTTTTTATTTGGCATTGCACAAGTCATGTCTTCTTTGGCTGTCCATGGCGTTAAAATACTAATTCCCTGGGGTGTGTTTTAATTGATTTTAGTCTCTGATGCATGATTTTTTTATTATTAATTGTTTTCGGCTTTAAACTAGCTTTCAGTAACTGCGAGTACTCTCAAATCGTACTTTCGTGTTAATTGAACACAATTTTTAATGCATTTCTGTTATTCAATGTTTGCTTATTTTGAGTTATATCTCGTCTCACTATTTTTAATATGTACCACCTTTGATAAGTATTTAGTATGACGATAAATTTTCACTTCTGTACACGTACTGTGAACAACAAATTTATTTATTTTGTAAAACATAAAAATGTTTCCGTATTCCTAACAACATTTTATAGTGTGTCTTTTTATGTTGTAATGTTACACTACTGTTTCAGGTTAGGGTGAAGGTTGGCGCCTGTTAAAACGTTTAAACCCGCTGCATTTGTATGCAACTGCCCTAAGTCAGGAGCCTGTTGTTCAGTGGTTGTCGTTTGTTAATGGTTCATAAGTGTTTCTCGTTTCTCGTTTTTTATATAGATTAGACCGTTGGTTTTCCTGTTTGAATTGTTTTACACTAGTCATTTTGGGGCCCTTTACAGCTTGCTGTTCGGTGTGAGCTAAGACTCTGTGTTGAAGGCCATACTTTGACCTATAATTGTTTACTTTTTACACATTGTGACTTGGATGGAGAGTTGTCTCATTGGCACTCATATCACATCTTCTTATTTATATTAAATGTATTCGTTTGGTTATTATTTTTCTCTCTTTTATTCATAAACTGTCATCTATTTATTTAATGATAAATTGCAATATAAGTGATATAAAACAAAATTGCTGTCAAACAGTATGAACGACTTTTTTTCAAGATTAAACAAATGATAATGAAAATAGATATATAAATCCCAAACGGTTTCTATAAATGTTTCATATGTAAGTAATAGAACCTTAGATTTACGTTTGGCCACTTTTCAAGAAATGATGTATAAACTGAGTACACTTATACGTTGAACGCGTACTTAAGATTCGCAGGTGTATGAATTTTTTAGCTGAAGACGCCAAGTAATCCTTACAAATTATTTTGCTGGTCTTTGTTACATATAACTATGAAAGAACTTCAGGGAAATTTTGATTAGTCCTTTAAAATCACTAATGAAAAAAAAGTTGAAAAAAGTGTGATCTTAACGAACCGAAAAATAAATATTTATTTAACCTTATAAACTTTTTACAATTTGATAAGATAAAAAAGCATCAATAGGGTACAGTTATTCAAAGTCTTTATTCTGTATACGGATAACATTAATTGATCGACTGACTAATGCTGTATAGAAAAATTGATTTTAGGATCTGCATTTTTGGGGAAGGGGGGTTGTCTCCATTCTGTAATTTTTTAGATCATATTTTTCATTTCGTAATCCCCTCCCTCATTATTCTCAATTCTTCATATTTTTAGCATCACATTAATGTTATTATTCATATTTTTTCCTCCATTTTTCTCTATTTATATTTTTTTGCCCATTTTTCTTTATTTTGATGTTTTGCCCATTTTTCTCTAAACTTCAACTGTTAGCCTACTATTCGATAATATTACATTTTAGCATCTTTTTTTCTTTTTTTTTTTGCTCATTTTTCTCTCCTCTTTTTTTTTCTTCATTTTTCTCTATTCTTAATATTTTTGCCCATTATTCTCTTTTCTGTAAACCCAATCCAGACTTTCATATATTTTGGAACAGTTTGTTACTAAATTTAGATTTTCCGCTAAGTCCTCAGGGTTTTCTGTATTCGGAACCTCAACTTTTAACCTTTATAATACCCGATTGTGTCAATGTAACGGAACTATGAACAACGGGAGGTTTAGCTAGCTAAAAAACCAGGGTTTTTCCACAAGTTTCTTTGGAAAATTCATGCACCAAGTTATGAATATGGCAGTTGGTTTTCACTTAATTGTTCTTTTGATTGATAGCGTTTGATTTTGTCAGTTTTTATGGAATTCCTCTTTTTGAATTTCCCTGGGAGTTCAAATCATACTGCTTGTCCTTTATCATATTTTGAAAGAAGTGTCATCGCAAAATATTTGATAGTGGTATAACGTTAAGAAAATACATACCAAACAAATAATGATTTACTGGATAACTTACAAAAAAATACCGCAAAGGGCACACGTTTGGCTGTACTGGATCTATAAATACGCAGCCACGTATTGACATTAAATCCAATGCCTCGTGAAAGGTAAGCGCAACAATCCCTGCACGTTAAAGAAACCAAGGATTTGTTGACAGATTGCCACAATTATTTGAACAGTTGGTTCATGTATGTGACCTGTTGCAAGCTTAAGGCAATATTTCCCAACATACCCTCATATTTCAGTGGCAGTCCATATTTCCCGCCCTTCATCTATTTTAACCCACTTTGCAGGTTATATACGTATTAGATTTAATGTTCTTTGTCTCGTCTCGAATATGCATGAAATATTTTCTACTGGACGCTAAATATTTAGTTCCTAGCTACAATGCATTTGAAAAACACCTTTACAAGTTCATTATCTGATTAGACGGTGTGATTGTACTTTCCCGCACTCATATTGTTATCTGTATAACGTACGTGACATGATAGAAAATCTACATACATAGAAACTCGTTCAGTCTTAACGTGAACATGATAAATTCATGTTTGTTTAACGTCCAGTGACAACTATTTCATACATATTCAAAGGACAAAATATTTCAAACAATAAATAAAAAGGCAGGTTTTGTAACACGGGTCCATCTAATCTAATTAAAATACAGATCATATGTCCACGCTCATCCAAGCGGGGACACATGATCTATATTTTATTCAGATTGGGGCCCAACGACATGAAGAGCGGGAAATTACACAACCACTGGAAAAAGTTTTTTTTTTTAGATTAGACAGAAGTCTTGACTTGCAACAGGCTATCGTTGGACCGCTCAAAGAGTTGTAGAAATAGTTCATTAACGTGCAGAGAGCATCTAACGTTCATTTTCTGAACAGACATGGCTGCGTATATAAACATCCCTCACAAACAAAAAGATGCTCCTCTTTAGCATGGGTTTACTGTCGGAAGAGAAAAGTCCAGGGCAAACCATGTGTCTATGAACCAGTCAACCCTCGGGGATATCACCCGCACCTGGCGTGTTTCGAATATCAGTAATCTATGTGTGTTTTACTGTTTTGAAGTAAAAGAAGAGAGTGCATCGGTTTATATCGTGACCAAAAAGTCCACATTTCACTGCTTATAATGGTGTTAGCTTTTAATTCTACCGCATTGCAAGTTCTGACTGCGGTTGTAAGTAAGAGTTTAGTATTTACAAGGAAACACAATTTTTTTCGACCATCTTATTTCAGAGTACAATGATCTCTATATGTAAAGTGCAGACATAAAGATATCATAAAATATTTATATAATTAAACGTCGGTCATTGTCATTGGTTATATAAAGAGTTCAATATAATGTAAAAATAAAGCTTCATTGAAAAGTCGAAATACATGTATATCAAGGTATGTCGACAACTTATATGTGAACAGGATAATGACATTAAATGAACTACCGTGGCTTTTTATATACATTCTTGCTTTTGACAGTATATCTCTACAGATACGTTGGGTTTTATGAGCCGAAAAGGGAAAGTTTACATTTATTGGATTGGCGAATCAGTTTTGAATTAATCAGTGCAAAGATGACACACAAAGGTCAGTGAACATTATTATGCCGTTTCCTCTAGAAATCTTGCACATGTGAAAAAAAATAAATTTCATAACAAAAAAAAAAAAATGAGGAGTTCTGAACATTTTACATTACTGAAGATGACAAAAAATAGACGTCATTATGAGACTGCAAAACAAAATGCAGATGTTAACAAGAGAGTAGAAACAAAATAAATTTACACCAAAAAGTGCAATTTGAAATATCAGGCAACAACTCCGCTAATCATTTTATATCTTTTAAACCTAAGTGTTACGATATCTTTCGTTATCCTTTATCCGAATAAGAACGGAGATCTAACTGGTTCTATAAATTATGGAAAATAGTCTTTTCAAGCAGACTAACGCATTAATTGATTGAAAACTAGAATGAACACGGCAGGTATATATATATATATATATATATATATAGTGTCCTGCTGGGATCGTGTTTTTTTCGAGTGTGACCGTGTTTTTTTACGTGCGAGTATGATGCAAAATATAAACAAACAGACATTTATTCTGGTAAGACGTGAAACCGAAGCTTTAAGTCAATATAAAAGGTATTTTACTATATATGTGATAAAAAGTTATTATCAACCATACATTATTTGAAGGTATACAAGTTTAATTTATCCTTAGAATGCTTTTATTCCATTTTAAAACACATATGAATATCAAAATCAATGAAAATGCGGTCACAGAATATAAATATATATCTTTATATCTAAGGACACCTTACAGCGATACTTGTAGTTAGATGGAAATATCCGGTCTACGCTCGAAAGAGTGGACCGATCCACTAAAAACACAATCCAGCCAGACTCTATACCTACCGCGACAAAAGTGTCGCAATTGCGAGGAATCAGACAACTCCCTCTACATGCCAATTGCTATCTAATGTTGATGTCGTAGTCAAAGATTTCATTGACATAAATAAAAAATCTGGATTTTCATGAAACACAGAAGAAAACAAGCAGTAATTACTATTATCATATATGTGCCAAAAGGCCTAGAACAAATCTGAACAGACTTTGTCAATATTTGTAATAGTTTATCATATATACGTTCAGCTTCCTTTAACAATAGTGCTAATGACAGGACTATTGACCGAATGTCAATGATTAAATGCATTTAGGGTAACCAAAACAAGCACATGCCTATATCGTTACAAAAGAAAAACTGTCAATACACAATTATATACTCAATACTTTACTACAAAACAGAAACGGTCGATTGGTCTAATATATTATGTATACAACGCTGTACCTATACAACGACTTATATTTAAAGTACGTATATAAGAAAACATTTTAACTCTTATTTGAATTTAAAAAAAAAGCGAATGGTTTTATTTTTAAAAGGATGAATGCTCCAATTATATAGTATATACTTTCAATCCGACAGCTAACATTGTGCACGCATTTAAAACCTTTTATGTGTTAGATATTTTAATAGTATTTTTATTGTACAAATTGCAGGGATATATTAAAATGAATAGTTCAACAGGGAGATAGATTATTATGTGCAATGGATTGCATTTAATAGTTAAATGGTCGTGATTAAAACCACAAATTGTAAGTACTTTACCGTCATAATTATAAAAACATATGATTATTATATACTTTATAACAATTTCATCCTTCAAAATAAATCGTTTTTTTTCCATCGATGTCCATTCTGACAACTGTAAATTTTCTGGTTCAATTAAAAAAAATTGCTGAAAATTCCTGAACAGGTACGACGGCCTTTTTTTGATATTTTTATACAGTCCGTGTAAGCTGGATTGAAAATACGACAATTTTTCTGCAAGACTTCCTCGTGAAATCAAACACCATGCGCACGCAGAATTGAAAGTGTAATGTGTAGAGCAGTCGAGAATTTTATTCATATTTACAAACGCCCAACATTCCCCCTAACCTGGCACAGTGGTGTAACAGCACAGCATAAGAACAAACTATAGAAATCAGTTGAAAAGGGCTCAACTCATCAGATCGATACAAAGAAAAAAAAAATAAGCAAAACCACAAAGAGAATAGATCTATATAAGAGTACTTGCAGCCGCTTCAAAGACAATAACAACTAATAAAAAGTACATGTATCTGAGACTCAAATATCAATCAGTACACATCCAACATCCAATGGATTTAGTGTAAGCCTTAAGACAAAACTTTATCACTGCAGTTTTCATGCGAGTACTGATGTATTGAGCTACCGGGCTTTTAATACCCTCCCTCGAGGACTTATGGTCCACGAGGAGAGATGTTGACCAAGTGGTAATAATTACATTAGACGATATCAATTATATATAAAAGCAAAAGCAAAAAGGTATCAAGGCAAAGTATACTTTATTGGGCGATATTTTAGATTTTTATGAAATTTTATTGAATATATCAAGGTATATGTAACAGTTATACTTTCAGAGATACAACCAATTAAAAGTGTAATAAATATTTCTAAAAATGTATAGAATGTACGTAAAAAGCGGTCCACATAACTTTGTTAAAAACTTATATGGTATAAATAATTGCTTTGTATAGTTACGCTTAGCTTAAATCAATGTTGTAATCTAACACTGAAAGATTGGGTTTTCCAAAACAGGAAAAGAAAAAAAACTGGGGCAAAGTCAACAAAGCTAACTTATGACTAGGACATGTCTTCTGACGGTCTTAAGACATGACTCAGTCCTAAGTCAGGTTAACGAAAGTTTCCTTAGATAAGATATTTCCTAAAGTTATGATAGCTAAATGGGTGTCCTAAGATGGTCTTAATAAATAAGTAAAAATAAAAACTTCAAAACAGAATAACATTTGTCCATGTTTGTTGACCTCAGCCAGCAGCGTTTAAATTAATTTTTCCGGTAAGTTTGAAATGGAAACAACTTCTTTTCTTACTTATGCTGATTCAACTATGCATGTATATACGTGTCTACAGGTCAATGTCATACTCGCATAATTGTAAGTAAGACAAATCAGAACTATTGTAATTGTATATGTTCTTTAATGCTTTTCCTGTTTTGTAGATTGTTATTTCTGTTTTTAATTAGCTTCGCGATACATCTTTTTATCCATTTATCCATATTCTGGAAATTTCTTTGATAATGCATAATATAATATTATAAGACACTAATCAAGATAAAACATAGGGCTTTAAACAAGTCTTGAAACATGATAAAACGAGAATTGATATAAAACATTTATTCCCTCTTTTGTAGCTATCTATCTGTTCTTTTTAGTGATACATTATACAGTCAATTAAATACCAGAGGTAAAAGGCTTTCCTTTAAGTATATTAAATTATAACGGGTGTTCTATTGATTCTAATGAAATTACATTGGAAAAATCTAATCTTGACAAAATTACTGAAGTTTGTGTGTGTCCTAGTCAAATGAAAATAATGCCAGTTAGTTTACATTTAGCTGTAAACTATTTGTTGATATCTGTCAATCAATTACTTGCGTAAGAAGTATATCTATAAAGTTAAGAATCCACTGTTAAATGTTCCTTATAGTTTTAGACATTAGTCTTACTGTTTTTATCCTTTTCTCTTACAATATCCGCAGTCAAACGGTAAATATGAAAATAACACTTTGAATTTTTCGTGCGTCCGAAGTGCTTTTATTGGTGTACTTTCATCAGGGTCGCTCAAAACCATAGATATAATAGATTATATCTATGCTCAAACCAAAATATTTGAGAGCAAGGGATGTATAAAAACGTAGAAACGTTAAGAACTATGACCAAAGGGGACACGAAAAAGCAAAATTTATCTAAAGTCGACTTTACCTAATAGAGTTGGAATCTTAATTTCTTAAAATATAAATTTAAAATCGGCGAATTTTAGTTAAATAATTATGTTATAAATTATATCAGTACCGAAGCAATGCCTAATGAGACTGTTGATGCTGTCGGGGAATAACGTCCATTTGCAATAGCATCGACCCAGTGCTAGCAAATATAAAACTTTAATCAAAGTACTGAAGTACTGAACATCGGATGACCGCAAGTTCTTGTGGATGGTCACAAGCATTTGTCTCAGAAAAAAAACCCATCTGTATACCTGAAAGTGAGGTTAATGTACAGAGATATATTTTTTTCTGAGACAAGTTCGTGCGTGATTAATGAATAAATGACAGGGAATTCAACGTCACCGTAATAACTATTATATTGCAGTGATACAAATCAGTATACTCTGGTTTGTTGTTATACAGTATATTAATATTTGTATATAACAGTTACATGTATAAAATATAATTTTCATCCATTTTTATATGATCATTCTATTTTACTATTCTAATAATAGTGCAGTGCAAGTGCATGGTTGACACTCTTCTGTAATAATATGATTTTTCGAATAGATTGGATTTGAGCAGGCATTCATATTTTCCCTCAAAACGTTCTTGAGATATTCTTCCGCATGCGTTAACACAATTTTTCTTAGCCTGGCTAATCTTGTCAGTATATTGATAGTTTCCATTGTGAATCTGACGTATACATACATATATAACGGCAGAGAAATAAACGAGAGTTTTAAAACAAAACGAAAGCATATCCAACTAAGTAGGATATCACGGGACTTTGATGACGTGCTAATCCTCCATATTTACTGAATAAGTCCCATAGAGTTTGATTAGTCCTTTATTTTTCTTCTTGTTAATCGAACCCAGTTTCTACCATTTGCACCTCATTCTTTGGCCTTCGAACTTATTTCTTTTTAAAATATTGATCCTGACGGTTTAGATTTAGTTTTAATTACGTCCCTGACTTGCTGAAATCTTTTTCTGGTCGTCGACCCGTTGACTTTATTGTAAAATTGGCAACCACACCTCTACTTATACTTTAATTTCACCGTTGAATTCCTTTAATAGAATAAATACTTTGAACCTCAATTGCAATACCTTAAACAGATCTAGTGCTGCGTGCAGTTTTTACCAGTTTAAATTGTATTTGAATAACGACCCAAATCGATTGAAAACTTAACTTTTTGTCTTGATTTTTCAAAGTGTTATAGCTAATAGTTTAGTCTTTGCACTTTGATCCCTATGATGTAAGACATATGTGAGAGTAAACTCATCAAAGATACCAGGCTTATAATTGTGTACGCCAGACGCGCGTTTCGTTTGCAAAAGACCCATCAGTGACGCTCGAATCAAAAAAGTAAAAAGTTGAAGAGCATCAAGGGCCAAAAAATCCAGAAAGGAGAGATGAGACATGAACGATGATATCGTACCCTTATTCATAGTCCTAATATCAAACGGATAACCCTAATTCGATTTTGCATTAAAATAGGTCATTTATGGATCCATTCGACGAGTTTTTAACATGCAGAAACCGTGACTTTTATAAACACGTATGTAACAACGTATTAGATTTTAGCGAGAGAAATTTATGTATTACTGAAAAATTATTACGCCAGGGTTTTCGATATCATAAACTAGTCAAAACATTTACTAAATTTTATCATCGGTATAAGGACATCATTCGTAAATATAACTCAACATGCAGACATCTTATACGTTCGGGTATTTCACATCCAATCTTTTATGGTAATATTCTTTACAAAGCACAAAAATGTCAGTATTTACCTCAAAAGCTAACAAAACCTTTAAACAGACTTATTAAGAAGGGATATAGTTACGATACTGTTGTCAGGTCATTAAAGATTGCATATTTTGGCTTTAATATTGATTCACTTATAGGGTCTTTGCATCGGAATTAAACATATTTATTCTAAAACCAGTTGTTGGCATGACACGGGTTATGTTCTTCTCATATATTTTATGATGGTATAATACTAAACCCCTAACAGGAGGGATTGTGCCTGATATTCATATGATGAAGACATAATCTTTCAATCAGTTTAATTGAGGTCTGGAGCTGGCATGTCAGTAACTGCTAGTAGTCTGTTGTTATTTATGTATTATTGTCATTTTGTTTATTTTCTTTTGTTTCCTATTCTGACATCGGACTCGGACTTCTCTTAAACTGAGTTTTACTGTGCGTACTGTTGTGCTTTTGTTTTTTCTACATTGGCTAGAGGTATAGTTTAGTATGACGTCCATTATCACTGAACTAGTATACATATTTGTTTAGGGGCCAGCTGAAGGACGCCTCCGGGTGCGGGAGTTTCTCGCTGCATTGAAGACCCATTGATGGCCTTCGGCTGTTGTCTGCTCTATGGTCGGGTTGTTGTCTCTTTGACACATTCCCCATTTCCATTCTCAATTTTACGTAAATTAGATTTGACGTCCACCAATCAGACCGTCAGTTTCTATACATTCCATACAGCTAAATGAGACGACCCTCTTTTGTAAGGTCGGCTTACTGCTGGGCGATAGAATTCGAGGTGACCATGCCTTTTTGCCTATAGTAAACTAGCGGAACATGCACTTCACTCGGGAATATGTTTGTGGGACAATTGGGAAGCTTTAATGTGGGACAATCGGGAATTGTTTTGATAGTGATGAATTTGTTGTTATAGTGTATATCAGGTATTTACAGATAACTAATCAATGTAACTTATAAAATATGAAATATATGCTGTGTACAAGTTATCATTTTGTACAAATTATAATTTG